CTTTTTTTTTTCCCCCAAAGCCCCAATAGATAGGTGTATGTCATAGTTGCACATCCTTCATAGTTGCACATCCTTCTAGTTGCTGTATGTGGGACGCGGCCTCAGCATGGCCGGAGAAGCAGTGTGTTGGTGTGCGCCCGGGATCCGAACCTGGGCCGCCAGTAGCGGAGCGCGCGCACTTATCCGCTAAGCCACAGGGCCGGCCCTCCATGCTCGTGGATTGAAAGAATTAACATATTTAAAATGTCCATATTTCCAAAAGCAATCTACGGATTCAATGCAATCCCTATCAAAGTTCCAATAACGTTTTTCACAGAAACAGAACAAAGAATCCTAAAATTTACATGGAACAAAAGACCCCAAAATAGCCAAAGGAACCCTGAGAAAAAAGAACAAAGCTAGAGGTATCACACCCTGTGATTTCAAAATATACTACAAAGCTACAATAATCAAAACAGCATGGAACTGGCACAAAAACAGACACACAGATCAATGGAACAGAATCGAAAACCCAGAAATAAATCCACACATCTACGGACAGCTAATCTTTGACAAAGGAGCCAAGAACATACAATGGAGAAAAGAAAGTCTCTTCAATAAATGGTGTTGGGAAAACTGGACAGCCACATGTAAAAGAATGAAAAGAGACCATTATCTTACACCATAAGATAATGGTACACCATAAGATAATCTTACACCAAAAATTAATTCAAAATGGATTAAAGACTTGAATGTAAGACCTGAAACCATGAAACTTCTAGAAGAAAACATAGGAAGTACGCTCTTTGACACTGGTCTTAACAGCATATTTTCAAGTACCATGTCTGATCGGGCAAGGGAAACAATAGAAAAAATAAACAAATGGGACTACATAAAACTAAAAAGCTTCTGCACAGCAAAGGAAACCATCAACAAAATGAAAAGACAACCTAACAATTGGAAGAAGATATTTGCAAACCATATATCTGATAAGGGATTAATCTCCATAATATGGAAAGAACTCATGCATCTCAACAAGAAAAAAACTAACAACAATTAAAAAATGGGCAAAAGATCTGAACAGATATTTTTCTTTTTTTTTTTTTTTAAATTTTTTTTATTTTATTTTTTCCCTCAAAGCCCCAGTAGATAGTTGTATGTCACAGCTGCACATCCTTCCAGTTGCTGTACGTGGGACGTGGCCTCAGCATGGCTGGAGAAGCGGTGCGCCGGTGCGCGCCTGGGATCCGAACCCAGGCCGCCAGCAGCGGAGTGCACGCACTTAACCACTAAGCCATGGGGCCGGCCCATGAACAGACATTTTTCTAAAGAAGAGATACAGCCAACAGGCACATGCAAAGATGTTCAACACAATTAATTATTAAGGAAATGCAAATCCAAAGTACAATGAGATATCTCCTCATGCCTGTCAGAATGGCTATAATTGACCTGACAAGAAATAACAAGTGTTGGAGAGGATGTGGAGAAAAGGGAACTCACATACACTGCTCGTGGGAGTGCAAACTGGTGCAGCCACTATGGAAAACAGTATGGAGATTCCTCAAAAAATTAAGAATATAACTACCATATGACCCAGCTATTCCACTGCTGGGTATTTATCCAAAGAAGATGAAAACACAAATGTGTAAAGATATATGCACCCCTATGTTCACTGCGGCATTATCACAATAGCCAAGACTTGGAAGCAACCTAATTGTCCTAATTTGTCCCTCAATGGCAAGGGACAAATGTATAAAGAAGATGTGGTATATACACACAATGGAATACTACTCAGCCATAAAAAAAGATGAAATATTGCCATTTGTGACAACAAGGATGGACCTTGAGGGTACTATGCTAAGAGACATAAGTTGGAGCGAGAAAGTCAAATACCGTATGATCTCCCTCACAAATAGAAGATAAAAACAACGACAGACACATAGAGACAGAAACTGGATTGGTGGTTACCAGAAGGGAAGAGGGTGAAAAGGGTGATTAAGTACATGTGTATGGTGATGGATGGTAATTAGTCTTTGGGTGGTGAATAATGATGTAATCTACACAGAAATCGAAATATAATGATGTACAGCTGACATTTATATGTTATAAACCATTGTTACCTCAATAAAAAAAAAATAACACGGGCCGGCCCCGTGGCTTAGTGGTTAAGTGCGCGTGCTCTGCTACTGGTGGCCCGGGTTCAGATCCCGGGCGCGCACCGATGCACCGCTTGTCCAGCCATGCTGAGGCCACATCCCACATACAGCAACTAGAAGGATGTGCAACTATGATGTACAACTATCTACTGAGGCTTTGGGGGAAAAAAAAAAATAACACAACTGGGGTCATAATTGTCCCGCAGTTTGCTTTTTTGTGTGTGTGTGAGGAAGACTGGCCCTGAGCTAAGATCTGTTGCCAATCTTCCTCTTTTTCTTTTTTATCCCCAAAGCCCCAGTACATAGTAGTGTATCATAGTTGTAGAGCTGTAGCTCTTCTATGGGGCATGCCGCCTCAGCATGGCTTGATGAGCGGTGAGTAGGTTCGCGCCCAGGATCGGAACTGGCAAACCCCAGGCTGCCAAAGCGGAACCTGAAAATTTAACCGCTACGCCACTGCGCCGGCCCATGCAGTTTGCTTTTTTAACTCAACACTACATGCAAGACATCTTTCCCCAGCAAAATACGTATCTCTGGAGCTCTATGCACACATCTTAGACCCACTACTCTTCTACTGACGAACATCAGGGCTCTCTCCAGCCTCTCACTGTCACCAACACCATGATGACACCTTTGTTCTCAGAACACGTTAGCAAAGGTATTCATACAGTCAATTCCTGGAAGGGAAGTGATGTGTCAAGCGTACCCATACTCAGTTTTTAGATACTGAAAAACTGCATTCCAAAAGGCTCTACGAGGTTGCAATTTAGAACCAGATGGAAGCTGGCCACACACCTGTTCCTTGAGGCTGTGTACTTTCACCTTTTCTTTCTCTAAAGCGGCTTGTAAGGCTTCGACAAGCTGCTTCATGTGGCGGTCCTCCTCCTCTTTGCGCTGCAAAACTGCCTGCACCTACAACACATTGCAGTAGAGAGAAGTAAGGACGGACGTCAAATTTCACAAGCCTGCAGAGCCCCAGGAAAAGCACGGGCCACTCTGATCAGTGCCACGTGGGGAATCTAGACAGACACTGGCACACAACATCACATTACAGTACCAGCAAGTGTACAACTCAGGAAAGGGGGGTGGAATTCCATTGCTGGAGACTATTGTTACAAGAACAGAAATCTAAGATAGCAGGAGTATGATCACTTGATCATACACAAGCATATGGCCAGGAACCCAGAAGATGCATATAAATCAGGGCTTATCGATGCAAATCCCTCTATGGTGAGGCAAGCAATGCAGGTGTGTGAGGCAGCAGGTATGGGAGTGGTAGGAACTAGTGCCAAATAAAAGTCTGTAAGCTCTGTAATGGCTGGATAATTCAAGGCGGGGTACATTTGGCCACTGTCTGCCATTTGAAGACTTCCCTGAATGCCTAGCCTTCTCTATCCCCAGAGAGGCTGCAGACCCTGTGGAGCTGAGAACAGCATCTGGAGTGAGACCCCAGCTGGGGTTCAAACCCCAGTTCTGAATCACACAAGGCCTTCAGGAAGGAGTCCCTTACCTACAGTGTTACTGCCTTGAGCTGGGAAATGGTCCCGTCTGCAGCACCAGGAGTCACCCACAAGGAAACTAATGGACTGAGCACAGTACTTCCACAACTTAGTTAAGGGGGAGTTAGAAGTTCCCCAGCTCTACCGCCCACCTCAGGGCTGGAAGATGGGGCTCGAGACTTCCCCAGACTCCCTGAGCCTCTGTTTCCGCAGTTCTTAGGTGGGGATGTAACATTTCCTTGCAGGTGGTTGTCATGAAGAAATAGAAACAATACAGGCTGACATTCAGAGTGCTACCTGGCCTACAGCAAGTCTCTTTCTGCTTCTGGTAAATGAGTTTCAATACCTGAAGATTCAGCTGAACTAGGTCTGCTTCTCTCTTGGCCAAAGCTGTTTCTAAGATGCTGTTGTGTTCCCGCAAAGCTGCATTGGACTGTCCAAGGCCTGTAAGCTTCCCTCTCTCGTGCTCTAATTCAAGAGCCAACTTCTTATTCGACTCCTCTAGGCGCTTTATCTTCCTCCTAAAGCCTCTGGATTCTTGAAGCTGAAACAAATCAAAGTCACTGTGAAGTTATGTAATTATAAGTTCTGGGTAATGGAGCTATCACACACTAGAAACGAAACAGCTAAACTAAAACACGACGACAAACAACCCTTGAACCACACCGGATGCAGCACACCCTTGCTTCACAGCTGGGAGGGCTGCAGCGGCCACAGTCGGTTCCCTTCCTTGCCCCCACAGCCAAGAGCCCAGCTTTCTCCTGGGGACCACGTGCTTCTGGAGCACATCCAGGGGCGGAGCCCAGGTGGGCATGGAACTGAGTGTGACACAGCGACAATGAACAATGCACACCGCCCCGCAGTTCCTGACAGAACATCTTGGGACCTCGGGACCCTGTGGAGAGCCCTTGGTGACATCACCAAGCTGCTGTGTGGGGCACGAACTGAAGCCACAACTGTGGCCAGGCCTGAGACTTACATGGAGTTTTTTTACAGGTTTAAGCCAGTTTGAACTGCGTTTCTTGCATTCTAACCAGGAGCAGGGCTGCCACTAAGAACTCCAACAGGCACCACACTGGAGAGGCAGTGAACACAATCATCCTAGCCAGAGCACTGATGTCACCAGGCATGTGGGGGAGTCTAGTAGTACGGGTGGTCAGACATATAGAGAAGCAGTCAGAGGGCGCACAGAAACGCAGAGTGCTGATGCCAAGCACGCAGGCCAGCTCTGACTCTCCAGGGCCCCTTTCTCTCTGCACCAGAGCTGCACCTGGGGCAGCGTGGCTTGCCCACTCCGCATGACGACGGAGCTTGGCCTACCTCGTCCTCCAGCTCCAGCACCTTCTCCCGGTACTCCTCCAACTCTTGGCTGGTCATTGCAATGATCTCCTGGAGCTCCTTCTCCAGCATCATTTTGCTGTGGCTGACGGTCTGCAGCTCCACCTCTAGGGCCTGGATTCTCTCCTGACAGCCAGGAGAGGAAGGTGGATTTGGTCATGGGTTTCAACATGGCTGAGTGACAGGTGCTGACCTCCCTCCCTGCGTAGCCCTGCGTCATACCTACGCGTGAGGCTGCTGACCATACTCGACAGGTGATATGCTCTTTACAGCACTTCCCTTTCCTTTAAAGGACTTAACTGACTAACCATAGTATGCACACAAAATAACTTTTTCAGTTAAATGCTTTGAAAATGCAGCAAAATTTTAACTTGCAGATGAGAGTTATAAATTACTATCTGTGGCAAGTAAGCTGCACCAGGCATAACATAATCAACACTACACGTGCATGCACACACATATGTGCACATACACACGTGAACATGTATGCACACACATGCAATACATGTGCAAATATACATGTGTACATGCACGCACACACACACGCTGGCTGCTGCTATGGTGCAGGCACTGTTCTGAGCACTTCATGTGTCTCTTCACTTAGCCATTCTATTATTTACCTCATTTTCGTCTCATTTTACTGAGGATCAAAAAGGTGGGTAACCTGCCTAAGGTCCCCATCTTACAAGTAGTGAAGTGCAGACTGAACCAGGATTTTGGCTCTTGGGCTGTGCTCCTGCTCAGCTGCCACAGGCGGTGCAGCAAGGGGGAATAACAGATCCTACAAGGCATTTATTTATATCCTACTACCAGTACCGTGTAAGCCAAAGAATTAAAAAAACAAACATTTTAAAGTAGAAAGGAGATTACAATTAAATAAATTCTCCCCTCTCAACGTTTTATAAAGTAAGCAGGTGAGAAGGAATATTTATTTAATTTGGTAAGAAAGCACCATTCTATGATATAGTCTCTTCCTACTCATAAATTCTTAAATGGAGAAGAGAAAGAAACAAACTTCATGTAAGAAGAAATATAATTACTAAATGTAAGTAAAAAGACTCAAACTGGAGAGTAATAAATGAAATGCAAATTAATTTATTCAGGTAGAATTTCACACCTAGTAGCAAAGTGAAAGGAAACAGTGGTCAGATCCAAAGCTGGCAGGGATGTGAGGAGACCAGGACACTCCTTTCTGAGGGACAGAGTGACACTGGGAGGCCCTGAGCAAGTCTGAGGCTTCATCACATGAATACAAACCCCCCGGCAAGCCAAGAGCTCCCCCCCTGCTGCCCTGTCCTCTATCCTCCATCCTCCTCAGGGATGCCATCCATCCCTTTATCCTAAAAATAATCCAAAAGCAAAAGGCTTTTGCCTCAGGACGCCACCACAGGAAGAGTGCTCCCTCTCCCATGTGCAGGGTCCCTCTTCCTTCTGAACCGGAGCATCTTACAGCCACTTCCATCCCGCTATGTCCCACACTGACCTCCTTCCCCGATTCCTCCAGAATGAGGCCATGCCGTCTGTCAGCAGAGCTGCCTGCAACCCACCTTCAACCTGGATGCCGGGGTCCCGCCCGCTCTGCGGCTCATGGCCCACCTCGTGCTCATGCACATGGATTTCCCTCTGGGCACTGACTACCCAGTGCCACCAGTTGGTGCCACCTCAGAGAAGCCTTCCCATCGGCCCCTCCTGTTTCCTATTCTGCTGCCTTTGTTTCTCGTCATCGCTAAGCTGCTGCTGGAGAGTCCACCTGGTCTCCCTGTCGCAGTCTCTCCCGGCCTCAGCCGTCCTTCTACCACTGCCCATCAGTGTCCCCCCAACTTGAGAGTGAGCATCAGTCTGCTCTCCATCATATGCAAGATCAAGTCCAAACTCCCCACCCAGCCCCCTCGCCCTCCCCAGCCATGCAGGCCCACCACACAGCATCTCACCGCCATGTCCTGCACAGGAGCGCCCCTCTGCTGAGATGCCCCTGTCCACTCCAATGCCTCCCCCTTATTCAAGACCAGTTCAAGTGTAACCTCCTCCAAAAAGCTTTTCTGGGCTCTCCAAACAACCTGAACCCTCTCAGCCCCCACTCACGCTGCTCACAGTACTTCATCCACTCACAGAAATTCCTTCCCAGACACTGAAGGGGCAGAGAAGGACAGGAGCAAGCAGGGAGACACATGTGGACCCTGCTTCGCCTCCTCACGGCGAGGACCCAGGTGCCTGAGCCAAGGAAGAAGAGGTGACATCACGCACGTCACAGGTTTGCAGGGATTAAAGAGAGAACGTACATACATAGTAGAGTCCCCAATCATGTCGATACTGCAGTGTTTTAAAGAAATGCTGCCCACGTGCTATTTCCGCCCCTCTCTTCTAGACCCTTTCATGAGGATTTCAGAAGGAAAATCTCTGTAAACATCACGTCCCTACACTGAGTCTCCTCGGCTGGCCAGGAGCAAATAGGTTACTCACGTGCAGAGTGAGGTCGTTGCCGCTGATGGCCACCTGGGCTCTCAGCTGGCTCAGCTCTGCCTCAGCTGACTCCTTGGCTGTGAGGGCCTCCTGCAGGCGGCGGCTGAGGATGCCCACGGCATTCTCATAGGCCTTATGCTTGCTCTTCATCTCCTTCTGAGCACTGGTCAGGTCTGAGCCCAGCCGCTTCATCTTCTGCTTCTGTTCAGTGATGGCCCTAGGGTGTGACGGAGGAGACAGAGAAAGAAGTCTGAACTCACCTCCATTGCGATCATCCTGGCTTTCTAGCATGTAACATCAAGAGAAGGAGAAGTGTGCCCTGGAAGTCCATCTTTATCCGCCCCACCCTCTCCAGCTACCGCACCACCCAGAACCCGATGCCCCAGGACAGGTTGCTGTTAAACCTGCCCTGCTCCCGTGTTGGAGCTGTTTAAGTGATCTCCTGAGGCAGGGAATAGTCCTCTCCTACCAAACAGAAACGCTTCCAGTGTTCTCGAACAGCAGCAATAAATGCAACCAGCAGGTTCATGAGTAAATCACCAGCTAATAAAGCAGGTCGGGATGCGCATGGGGGTGAAAAGGCCCCAGCGCCCCCTGTATGTGTGCAGGGTGGAAAGGACAAACCCGAATGCTGGCCCGTCAGGGATCAGCAGGGGGATGGGTGCTGCAACAAGCGCATAACATGAAAACACACAAAAGGGGAGCGTGCATTAAAAGGAGGCATTAGCACATCCGCATATCACCACCAAAACACTGTGGAATCAATCTTCCAGCAGGACACGCTAGGTCTCCTATAAGCAGATCCCGAGCTGCTTCTCCTCGGCAAGGGTTCGATGGATGGTGTGCTCGGGGGTTTCCCTGGCCCTCGGTGGGTGCTGCACCCCAGCAGAGCTCACGGCCCCTGTGCCCGCGCCCCCGGCCAGCACACGCCTCAGAGCCCACTCACCTCGTCGCTTCCTGCTGAAGCTCTTCTACTTGTTTCTTGAGCACCTCGTTGGCCTCTGTAAGAGCAACCATCTGCTCTTTATCGAACTGCAAAGACTTCAAAAGAAGGGAGGAAAAGACAACATGAGGAACAAAAGCACTCCCCTGCAGCTGATTCTCAGACTGGCTTCTTGCTGGGTAAATGGTGCCACTTCAGGGCCACCCTTGAGGACATGGGCTTTGAAGAATATCCTAATGGAGAGTTTGCCCTTATTATAAATGATCACTTTATAGAGGTTCAAAGTGTCCTGAGCTGCCTGTGTCCAGAACTTTGGAGGGAACACGCGGCTAAGGGGAAAGTCGCTGGGTTGTCTCTCACAGGCTCCCACCTCTACGCTCGCCTCAACCACGGGGACCTCCACACCTGCACCTCAGATCCCATCGCCGGCTCCCACTGCACTTAAAGCCCAGAGCCCCAACCAGCTGCTGCAGCGCCACCAGGCCAGGCCCAGCACATTCCTCATGCACCGGGTCACCTGCCCGGGACTCCATGTTGTCCCTCAGACCCAGGAGACTCCATGGCTTTCTGCATGGTGGCTGAACTCTGAACTCAACAGCCAGCCCCCAGAGCCCACGTGGACTCACCTGCCTGTCTGCCCCACCTGCACACAAGCTCTAGGAGGGCCTTGTTCTAGGCTTTCTGCTCAAAGCCTCTCCCCGTGCCCCCACCCACAGTAAGCCCCCAGGCATGTTTGGCTGCACCTTAACAAATCCAACACATCCCCAGACCTGTAAGTGCGTCTCCATCTGGTCCCGCTCCCTCTGCACTGATTGGAGATGCCCTTCGAGATCCGCCATCCGCTGATGGACTTGGGACACTTCCTTCTGCAAGCGCGAATGTTCCATCTCCACAGACTTTTTTTCCCCTTGAAGTTTAATCAACTCTTGCCTCAGCTCCTTCATCTCCGAGTCCAGCCTCTTCTTTGTGGTCTTCAGCTCACTGATGAGCTGGTCTTTGGAGGTGGCATCCCGCCGGTAAGCCTCCACCATCACCTGCTCAAGAAGACAGAAGCTGCAGCCAGCGTGGGGTGGGGTCTTCCAAGGGGTCAAATGGCTTAAACAAAAATGCTCACCACTTATCCAGGGCGTTAACTTTTTTTTTTGTTTCTTTTTGCTGAGGAAGACTGGCCCTGGGCTAACATCTGTGCCCATCTTCCTCTACTTTATATGTGGGATGCCTGCCACAGCATGGCTTGATAAGCAGTGTGTAGGTCCGCTCCTGGGATCTGAACCTGCGAACCCTGGGTTGCTGAAGCGGGAGCGTGCGAATTTAACCACTACGCCACTGGGCTGGCCCCCAGGGAATAACTTTTTTGGGGCTAAAGATAACATATTTCACCAAAACCGAGACACCGTCAACTGAAATGACATTCTTTTATGCACCTGAACAAGCCTGGGTGATGCACAGAGTGGTCATGCCAGCTGCTGGGTGCCTGAACTATTTCGTCTTCCCTGAGAAATCTGGCAATTCCTTCTCCCTTCAGTTGCGCTGCCTGGCTTCTGACACGTAGTCCCCTTGCTTGAATCTCAGTAGTAAAATCTAACACCACTTACACTGCTCCTTCAGGGGGTTGTCCTTCCTCAGACCCTTGGCATTTGGCACCACCTGACACTCATTCCTCCAACAGCAGACACTGGCTTCACTAACATAAAATGTAATCATGCCCTTTTGCATATACCATGGCTTATTTCAATGCTGGATCACGGTGCGATTTCTTCAAAGACACGTTAAACAGAAACTGCAGCCTGTGCGGCAGTGATGCACACTCTCTCTGACATGACAACAGGGCAGGATCCTCGCGATCACACATGCCAACCCACTGTGAAAATGCATCCTGACTTTAGAGATATTAAAATGGGAAGGGAAGAGGAGCATACCTTAGGCTCAATGAAGTGCCCTGAAAAGAATAGAAGGCTGGGCCTGCCCAGTGGCATAGTGGTTAAGTTCGTGTAGTCCGCTTCAGCGGCCTGGGGTTCACAGGTTCGGATCCTGGGCACAGACCTATGCACCACTTATCAAGCTATGCTGTGGTGTCATCCCATATAAAGTATAGGAAGATGGGCACTGATGTTAGCCCAGGGCCAATCTTCCTCAGCAAAAAGAGGAGGATTGGCAACAGACGTTAGCTCAGGGCTAATCTTCCTCATACACAAAAAAGGAAGGAGTCTAGATATTACCTTCCTCTTGATTAATTTTGTTCTAGTGAAGTGATTAAACCATACAGGATTTTTTTCACGCACTTGTTTTACATAAAGAAAACCAACAACACAGTTTTACCTTTTGTTGAAGAAACTGTTCCTTTATTTTCTGTGTCTGTTTTTTCAGAGTGGTAGTCTCCTGCTCTAACTGTTCCACCTACAAAAGACATGTTTACACAGATGTTACAGTGATGGCTCCAGGAGGGCCCTGCACCTACAAGGGACACGCACGCACAGATGTTACAAGTGATGGTTCCAGGAGGGCCCTGTGCCTACGAGGGACACGCACACACAGATGTTACACTGATGCCTCAGTTCTAGTTCCCAGGGTTAGGGTGACTCTGGGTTCCTGAGTCAGGAAAAGAGCCTTCAGGGTTGGAAAGACAGCTTTCCAGTGAGACAGAAATGCCACCACCACTAGCCCCTGCTCTGTTTTTAGGATAATAATCTTAATCCAAGGTGTAGCTACCAGTGACTTTGTTAATATAGGCAAAATTCAAATATGATAAATAATGCCTAGTACCACCAAATGCCTCTGTCAGAGTTTTCCAAGTGTCAGCTGATGTCTCTCTTACTGAGCTAACAGGAAAGAATTCGTACAATTCCTCTAAACTACCTCCCTACTGCATCAAGGACCAGCCTCAGTGCATCTATCCTGGAAAGTAACTTAGCACGGCTCAACGTCTGCAGAGAAGACCCAGCTCATTTTATTTTACTTCCCCAAGAGAACACACGTGATTGATTTCCTCTTGTCCTTGATGCTTATGAAACCTGATTTGAAGACAACATTACTCTGACACTGACTCTACTTCCTCCACACCATGCAGCTTTCTTGTCCCGTCTGTATTCTCAAACGTTCACCTATGTCAAGTCATGTCACACTGTTAGCACAACAGCTCCCAAGTGTGGCATGCTAGGTCATGTCCACACACACCCAGACCCTCAGGCCGTCTCCCTGCCCTCACCCACTGACACACTACAGCTGACCTGCCAGCATGTCCAGTGGGTCACACCACAGTCAGGAACACAGGAAGGAAAAGCCAAAAGTTCCAGGAAGCTTTTCCCAAGTCTGAGCTCCATGTAATCCATATATAGAAACTGGTGTTTTCTAGTAGATTCCTTTCAAAGCCCCAAACATAACTCAGTTTCCCAGTTCCCGGCATTTACACACTTAGTGGCAAACACAGGACTGGAAGCATGCCACCAGCTGGTGTGGGCCCCTTCCCCAACCAAGCCCTGAGCCCTGCCCTGGAAGCCTTCTTCCAGGGCACTTATAAAACAAGGTGTTCAAACCAAGAACCAAACAATCAGCATCAGTTCTTACACGGATGATTTCAATTCACAACAAAATGACAGCAAATTTCATTACCTGGCTGGACTTGATGGCTAATTCTTGTCTCAATTGATCTAAAATTTCTGATGTTTCCTCGGTACCTTCCTCCAAGCGTTTTGCTCCTCTATCAAATTCCTCCCTGCTGCTCTTGGCCGCTTGCAAAGCCACCTCCAAGACAATCTTCTCGTTTTGTAGGAAGCGAATCGTGTCGTCCCTGGAGGCGGCCTCCCCTTGCAGCTCCTCCAGCCTGGCCTGCAGCTCATCATAGTGCACCTGCAGGTCACCCAGGGACTGCTCCCTGGTCTGCAGAGTCTCCTGCGTCGAGGTGAACTGCTTCAGCAGGTCCAGGTGCTCTTGCTGCAAGGCCTCAAGCTGCTGGTCTCGCTGATGCAAAACCAACTTCACCTGGGAAAAAAAGAACTAGATTCAATATAACTGCTCTTAAATTAAGAGTTTATACTTTTTCGCTGTTTAGGTTTTAAATAATTTGGATGGACCCTCTGGAGGCAGTCTTTTGTAAGTCAAGTTCTGGTGTGGAAGAATGCCAGCAGAAGCAAACCCCCAGCGGGTCTGCAATAGCAGCCGAGTCTGATGAGATGACATTACGATGAATCTGATGGAAAGACCAGCGGACAGCCACGAGAGGACCGCCACACAAGGACAGCCATGTGTGGCCCTAGGGCGTCTACACAAGGCCAGCCACACCAGGACAGCCACGTATGGAACCAGGGCAACCATGTGAGGACAGCCATGCGAGGACAGCCATGTGCGGCCCTAGGGCGTCTACACAAGGCCAGCCACACCAGGACAGCCATGTGTGGAACCAGGGCAACCACGTGAGGACAGCCACGCGAGGACAGCCATGTGCGGCACTGGGTGTCTACA